GAAGGGAGTGAAACCTAAGGCCACATTGGCTGCAGATTAGCCAGAGGACCAGCCAGGAATGGGAACCAGGTCTGTAAGCCCCGGTTGGGGTTCAGGGCTTCGCCTTTAAGGTCCATGCAGGCAGGGACTTAGAAGGAGGGGAGGGGGGGAGAGTCAGGGCTCTGCTCCAGCGGAGGACTGGCCTGCGGGAGGCCATTCACTCTGACAAGGCAGGGACCCCTGCAGTTTCTGGGCTGACTTTGTGGATTCAGCCCAACCTCACAGGGCTTTGTAACTCCCTTGCCTGAAGGTTTGCAGATAACTTCTTTCTCACAATGGGGGTTTCCCGCTGTTAAAAACAAACAAAGGCCTTAGACACCAGGCAACAGGCCTGGTAGGGGCGGGGCAGCAGGAGACAGGCCCTGGGGGCGGGGGTAACTAACTCCTGAAAGCAGTTGAAGGCTTTGTGGGTAGATGACCCTGAATTCTGCTGGTGGAGAGAAAAGCCCCAGAGTCCCCCAAACCCCCATGTTTCCTGGCTTCCCAAGGCTAAGGTTTCAATACATAAGTTATCCTAGTGCTTCCCTTTGCCCCACTGTTTGCGAGGTCACAGTTTTGGAAACAAAGCTCTCCTATTTATTGGGCGTCGAATTGCGGATCTTTCTGTATCGTCAGATTCCAAACACCCTGTAATGCAATTTCCTCCCCAAGATAAATTCTGAAGCGCCCCCATTCATTCCTTCAAGGACTCAACAGATGTCTTTGAAGCCGGTTTTCTACCGGGCACTCGTTCACAAGGCCCAAAGGACCCCTGTCCCAGCTACTTACTACCCAGGGAGTCACGGAGGTTCCCAAATGCCCACTTTTGAGAGCCCACTTCTCCCCCTCCCAGCCCCCGCCTTCGCCTACAGTCTCGGGGCTTTCAGCCGGTGCGATCTCAGCGAGGAGAGAGAAGAAAAACAGCTCCCGGGCCGCCGGTGCCCGCCGAGGCCCCGGACCGGGATCAGCGCGCGCACGCGTCCAAGTGCGCGTCCCCACTTCCTGGGCCTCAGCCTTCGGTGCGCTCCCTCTCGGACCCGGGTCCTCCCAGGGGCGCACCGCCAGCCTCTGCAAACCTAACCCTGTCCGGCCCGCAACTCCGACTGAGCTTCCTCTCGCCTCTCCTTTCCCACGACTTCCTCCCGGCGCTCGCGGGACTCCGGTCGGGGCCGCGCGGGGTCCTGCGCGCTCCAGCCCGGGCCGCCGCTGTCCCGGTCGCCCACGTGGGCGTGCTCCGCGCCGGCGGGGAGGCCGAGCGCCCTCTCGGGAGTCTTCGGTGGCG